TTCTATACTTGCATATCCTCCTCCCTGGGCAAATCCTGCATTGCCAATTCGGCCTGCACTGCGCCCATCCGTGTCTCACGCGTGCCAAGTGCGCATTGCCCTTTCCGTTCATGGCCAACTGGCAGAAGTTAGCCCTGAAAAGAGGCCGAGGCATGCATAAGCTTTCCTTGCGCTTCCCCTTCCGTGCTAGCTACCGAGTATCGGAGATCTTTCTTTGGAGAGGGGGCAGCTCGGGCTCCCTGATTCTTTCTGAGGAGAGTGAACCTTAAGTGCCCACATGGTTTAGTCCCAGTGTTCCTTGATGAGCTTGCCTCCGGAAAGGGATGAGCCAGCAAGGCTCCGTGCGCCAAAGGCTTCAGCAGGCAGGTCAAGGCTGCGTTGTGCAAGCTTCTGCTGAGTATGTTCCAGCAGCTTGCCCTCCTCAATCTATTCGGTTCACATTCTCGAACTCAGGCAGACTGACGTCCGACTGCAAAAAGTCGGATCATCACAAGCGGGTTGAATGGACTCCTTGTCAGGGGATTCATGGGCTCAGAGAGAGTGAAGACTCCAGAGAGGAGATGGGAAGAGATGGGTCACGCGGTCACCTCAACCTCATCAACCCGCTGCTTTTTTGGCCAACCAGGCCACGGATCCTGCATGATGCCAGGATATGGCGAGGCGGCTGACTCGTAAAGTCGATGCCTTGCTGGAATTCTCTGGCCTCTCCTTCTTCCTCAGCAGCCCACGAGCAGCGAAACTAGCACAGAAACTTCAAGAGGCGCTCGTGTGGGAGTCTTTCAGAACGCCGCACACCTCACAGCCCTCCGGCAAAGGCTACATGGCTTTTCTGGATGCGCCTGCATAACCGTGCGCAAGGATGTGGCGAGGCGGCCAACTCGGAAAGCCGATGCTTTGCCGGAATTCCCTGGTCTCTCCTCCCTTCTCAGCCAGCAGCCCACGAGCAGCGAAACTAGCACAGGAACCTCAAGGTGCGCTCGTGTGGGAGCCTTTCAGAGCGCCTCAAGCGCCCTCTTGTGTTGTTTCTGTGGCCTTTTTCCAAAAAGGGCCGGGGACCGACTCTCAGCCCAACCCCAACGTAGGGATCACTGGGCCTGCGCCCGACATGGCTCCCAGCCGCTCTCCTCCGGTGACCTCACAGAGAGGCCACGAGCATCTCCACGACAAAGATGATCCGAGCAGCCCTCATGTCCAGAGCTCAATCCGAGTCGCTGCCCTTGCAAGCCTTTTTTGGCAACTCAAAGCTGGAGGCCAAAGCTTCAAAGCTGCAGCCTTTGGCAGAGGTCGGCTTGCCTTTCCAAGACACTTTCCTGCAGCGTCGCTTTGTGCCAGAGGGCTGCTCCAGCCGCACATCTCAGCCCTCTCAGCCCAGCATACACCTGTTGGGATATGAAGCCTTCATGCGGATCAAGTCGGCTGGCACAATCTGATTGTTTGTGCAGAGCGAGGTTGAGCACCGCAGCCACCTCGGAAAACGATTCCGGAGCGATGAAGTCATGAAATTGGTTGAGAGCACAACGCCTGCTTCCAAACGAGACAAAATCTGACTTTCAGCGATCCTGTGCAAAGCTCCAAGCGCTGTAGCAGGTCAGATGTCAAAGAACCATGCACGCCAGCAACGACACGCCAGTGCCAAAGGTTGCAAAGCCCAGGACATTCTGGATACAGGGCACTTCCCACTACTTCCCACTCCCTACAGTGGGGGAAATGGTGCAACTCTTCACACCTCACATGGGGTGAGAGCCAAGACTTGTGAGCTCAGTGGAGCTCAGCGGCAGCTCCGCTAGAGGTCCCCTCCCGTGTGGAACGTGTGAGCCAGTGCACGCCGCGTATGCACAGATGCCTGCAGACCCTTGCAGCATGTGCAGCATGAAGCCTGCCGGCCTCGCCGTGAAGACTGAGTTGTGCATGATCGGCTCAGGCACAGCGAGGGGTGGCAACCCAGCCGAACGAATGCTGTCGAGGCGCTGACTCCCGCTGCGTGCTAGCTAGGTGCAAAGAGACTACTTGGAGAACATGGAACTTAAACCAAGGAAACTTAAGGCCGCCTCTGAATGAGGTCGGATGTGCGCTTGTCAACTTTTCCTCGTCTCAGCACAGGAAAGCTAAGAAAGCGGAAGGAACATGATTCAACGAAATTGAACTTTGGCATTCGCAGCAGCCTCCTCCCTCAAAGGCTAGGCAACACTTGAGGGGCAAGGGTTATGTGTCTTACTGAAGTCTTATGTGTCTTCTGAGGCCTACCTGCGCTGGGTACGAGAACAGTAAGTTGACTTACACAATACAAAAAACAGGTCCTCCGCAACTGCAACAAGAACACTGGCACGCCGTAGGGGCTAGGTGACCTCATAGGTCTTCGCAATCTTCTTTATGGCTACAACCCAGCCACACGATTCAGGGGATGCCACAGGCTTGTACAGACGAGTGAGATGTGCTTCCTGCAATATGAAGGACATTGAACCGAGATGAACCTGCAGTCATCACGAAAGCCTTAAGCAGCGGTACCCCACCCTCGGGTCCGCAACATCTGAACTTGTGATGCTGGCTCACCTTGCAAAGCGCCTGCGCCCTATGCCCCTACGTTCATCTCGTGCTGCCACAGTCCTGGCGGGTTAGCTACAGCTCCTAGCACGACCGCACCTGTTCACCTGCGCATCGCCCGTGAGGGCTGTAGCATGGGGTCGTACCGGTTGTGCTCTCCTAGACAGCGCGGAGCCACATATCGCACACTGACATTTGCGCCTTGGGAACTGGAACCGAGTTCGCGCCTTTATTCCTATTACCTTCAGGGAGCGGAAACATGTAAGCCCCTGGCCGCGCAATGCTCGCAAGCACGCCGCACTCATGGCATCTGTAGTTGTGCTTCTGCCATGGGTCTCGCCTACTGAAATCTCGTACAGGAATGGCAGCCATGTCGCAAGAACAGGTGACGAGGGCCCTGTGCACCAACTCTCAGATGTGCTAACATGCCCACAGCCCCATTGCCGACCAAGTTCCCGCTCACCTCACAAATCTGCTCGGCGCCAGCACACGTCAAGGCCCGCGTTGCCTTGGCCAGAGTTCCGGAAGTCACGAGCTCTTTGGGTCCTATGCCCGCAACTGCCACCTTACAAGGACTCCCAGAGTCCCCTTTGAACCTGGCTACAGGGCTTTGGAAGTCTGCGGAAGCTTGCGGCTTGGGAAAGCTTAGAAAAGGGGGTTGAGGCCGGCTTGGAAAGCCCCGAAACACCGCGACCAGCGCCCAGTACCTCTTAGTCAAGAACGATGCCTCAACTCATAACTCGGGATCCCCTAAACTCGCCAATGATAGAACCCTAAACTCCAACACCGAAACCCTAAACCCCAAACCCGAAACCCTAAACCCGAAACCCTGAATCGAACTATAGTACATGAACTCAGGCTGTGCATGCCAGGGGTGCCTGCCGAAGACAACCTCCAAAATTTGCTGCGCAAGCCGCCAGGTACCGGCCTGAGCGGGTTTAGGGTTTGGGGTTTAGGGTTTAGGGTTTAGGGTTTAGGGTTTAGGGTTTAGGGTGTAGGGTTTAGGATTTAGGGTTTAGGGTTTAGGGTTTAGTGCTTCAGGTGCAAGGCTAGGGTCTTTCGGGTCTTTCGGGTCTTTCGGGTCTTTCGGGCCTTTGTGGTTTGTTGAGGTTTGTCCTGTCAGTCTTTCGGGTGCGTAGGGTTTGGCGTTTCAGGGGTTCCCGTTAGTCAAGACATGCCCGGGTGCCTTGAGAACTTGAGATAAACCTAAACCCTAAACCCTAAACCCTAAGCCCTAAACCCCAAACCCTAAACCCCAAACCCTGAACCCTAAACCCTAAACCTTGAAAGCAAAAAGCTTCATGGGCCCCTCGCTTGCTTCTGGGGGGGGGTTCACTCAAACCATGTCAAACCTAGGCCCCCGGACGCCATGTAGCTGAAGCATCCTTGTCAGGAGGCTCGTAGTGTTTAGGGTTTATGGTCCAGGGTTTAGGGTTAAGGGTGTAGGGTTGAGGCTGTAGGGCTTAGGGTGTAGGGTTTAGGGTTTAAGATTTAGGGTTTAGGGTCTTTCTGTGGATGTTTTGAAAGCCTCGCTTTCTCACTTCAGGCTTTCTGAGCCTTAGTAACACTCCATAAACCATAAACCCTAAACCCTAAACCCGAAATGCCTTCGGGGAAACAAAGCCAAAACAATAGCCCCGGTCCTGCACATCGTGAGGTTTGAAGCCCCCCAACCTTGGGGCCAAACCACGCCTTTCCAAACAACTTCTTGAGCCATATCATGGCCATGCCCTAGGGTTTAGGGTTGGGGTTTAGGGTTTAGGGATAGGGTTTAGGTTTCTGGGCTTTGGGTTGTGGGTTTGGGTTTAGGGGTGACATGTGGTGACAGCAGCGTGTATCCCAGTTTCTGAGAGCTGCCTTCCTTATGGTATTGGACCTTCTGTTCATCTAGTGCTTTCAAGGTGACAAACACTGTCCGATACTCTTGTCACCTGCGTGTATGAAACCTCGTCAGTCGCCGCTAAACCCAAAGCGACCCTTGGAGGTCTCCTGGTATCTAGGATCAAGGGGTTCAGGAGGAGTCTAAGCCAGAGGCCCAACGAGCTGCAAAGACTTTGCACAGCTCCACCTTGTTGCTGGCCTTGCTTCCCTGCAATCCCCTCCCCCAATACTGAAGCCCCCCCTTTTCCCCCTAATATTAAAAAAAACCAATATACTATGATATGACTATCATGGGAGGTATTTAATATTAGGGGGTAGGGGGGGGGGGTTTTGATATTAGGGGGAGGGGATTGCAAAAAGCAATTACCGCAAGCACTGCTACACCCCAACCCTGGGAAGCCTGACAATCCAGACTTGTCGAAAGCACCCGAGCAAAACAAAACAAAAAGAACATGCCTTCCGCAAAACTCAATCGTCTTCTCTAGCCTGTGCAACCCCCGAATGCAAGTCGCAAATTGTTGATGATGGCTTTGTTTCATGGTGGCAGCCTCTGAAATGTACATCGGCAGCACGGCAGCTCAGCTAACTGTACATGAAAGCCAACAGCCTTCAGTCCCTGCCTGGCTACCTGACTCAACGACAACTGCTGTGCGGTCCTGCTCTGCGTTTTCTTTTGATTTCTCACCTCGTCGTCTCTTACAATCGTCACACCCGCAGCTATTTCCACCATAGCAAGGCTGGCCACGCCACACCGCGTACTGGTCCCCGGCACGCTTCCACCCGGCGGAGTCCAGGGCCATGGGCCCAAGCATCATGCGGCTGCCTCCACCGTCCAGACGGTGGATGCAGCGATCATTCGGCCACACAACCAACCTTCCTGGCTTCACATCCACGACGTGCTCCTTCGAAATGCTGTGAATCGTCAGCGTGCCTGTTCCGGCAAGGTACAGGACTGCCACGAAACCTTGAACATGCGCTGGATCCGGTTTCCCCGTCTTGTCGAAGCCCGTGTCTTGGTGCATAGGAGAACTTCCCACGGCCACCCTCCCCGGCATCAGAACCATGTCTGCATCTGCTGTCGCGCCCGCCACGCCCCCCGGCTTCGCGAGGGCCATGGAGTTTGGGTCGCGACCCTCGGAGCAGCATCTGAAAACTGCTTGCAAGCGCTGCTCTAGCTGCCTTGGAACAGGAACTTCGGACAATGCCGTTCGGGCACCGGGTGCAAGGGGCACCAGTTTGCTGCGGATCACGTGACTCAGCTCATCATCCACAAAGCCATCGAGGACCGCAATCATTTATTACAAGTCCGATGCTCACATGACATGCACTACTTCAAAGCTGCTTCTGCCCCAGAGGCCCGCCTCTGTTTACTCTTATTTGCTAGAGCTCAAGAACTGCCTGCTTGCTTGGAGAGTCTGCTGCAACCTGCAATGGTCCAGGACACCGTCATGCACATTCCATGCACGAATGCCACAAGAGCGGCGCAAGAACACCCACAACACACTTGGACGGCTTCAAGAACATCGCCACCATGATTTCCAACGAAAGTGGCATGTCCGCTTGGCACCCTGAAGCTCGGACGGCTTCAACAACATTGCCGTGACTTCAAACGAAAGCGACACGTCCGCTCGTCCGCCGCGTTCGCCCTATCGCCCCATACTCCCGCCGCGATCTACACTGACAGGCGCGCTGTTTAAACATAGTGACACCGTCATGCGGGGTTATCCGGTCCTTTAATTGCTCGATATCAGAATAAAGAGAACTTAATAAATAAATATGTATATGTATGTTTTTTTCGATTTCAGAAATCAATTTCCTATGTCTTTGATGAATAGCCTGATCAATCACAACATTTCTGCCAATCAAATAGAATTAGAAATCTCCGAGATTCTATTCCTGTAAGTATCTTTTTGAAGAAATTTCTTTCAGGCTCATTTGATGAAAATCATGATCATTTATCTTCTATCAAGAGGAATGAATTTTAAAAATCAAAATCCGTGGGCTGTCTTGCTTTTAACTTTGTTCTTCGATTTCAGAACCGCTTTTTTCTGCGAGATAAATCAAACATACTTCCAAAAATCAATCCTAAATGAAATTCCTGCGAAAACCCTTTTTGCAGAAATTTCTTCTAGGATCATCTGGCGAAGACTATCATCATTCATTTTCTTCTCAAGTCAAATGGTATGAAGAATAAATTCCATTAGATTCTCTCCTTTGATGTTTCTTCGATTTCTCAAATCACTTTCAGATTTTTGGAGAAGAATTTGATCATTCATGTCATTTCTATCATATCATGGGATCAGGTCCTATTCTGGGTTGGTTTTGGGGTTTGGGACCTTATTTGGCAAGGTCAAAAATTGGGCAAGGTCCTTATCGAAAAAGAAGGAAGAATGGAAAAA